AAACCAAAAATCCAAAGGAAATCCCAAACCCACGCCAAGCCTGAAGACAGAATTCAACTTGGGAGGCTTCATGGGACGCGGGTTGCCATTAATCACGGGGGTTTTGGCAGGGAGGGGCCCTTGTGGAAGAGGCCAGCGCCTTTAACACATGTTTTCAGCCAGGTCCGCGGCCCGCGAGGGATGCCTTTAATCAGGGGGGGTCTATTAATCAAGAGTTGACATGAAGCGAAATCACTCAGTTGTGCAATTCGCCCGCAGGCTGCTTCAATAGATGAGCACTTTATCGTCCCATTTTGGCAAATTGCCATTCCCCCAAAAGCTTCCGCAAATTGCAGTTCCACGAGTCAGGTGCCAAGAGCCTCCGCGCTTTCCTTGGTGATGAGGTGGTGCGGTTCCAAGTTCAGCCCCCCCTCTGCCGAGTTAGATGACTCTCGATCGTTCCTTTTGCAGGAGCACTCTTCGGTGCGACTTGATGCAGAAGCAGGTGCGGCCCCAGTTAAAGATCGCTCCGACAGGGAAAAGCCCGGCCAAAGAGACGCCAAGGCCAGGCAGTCATAGCCTTGGCGACAAAAGCAAGTCCGGGCCTCCCAGAGAGTCAGAGAATGTCAGTATACTATATCATATTAGTATTCTATTGTATTATATTGTATTGCATTACTGTTGTAATAATAACATAGAATATAATATAATAAGCATCTGTCAGCAATGTCTTCTTCCCTGAGTCAGGGTGCACACGGCCAAGGCGCTGAGTCCTGTCTGCGACGTTGGGAAGGATTCGCAGCTGCGATGTGCTCTGCTCTGGCCCCGCGTACTTCAATGCAGAGCAGTGTCCCCCAAGAAAGACACATGTCGATTGCAGTCTTCCGTGGCAAGGTCCCGAAGCGAAGACGTGGAAGCAGGCCAGGACACGCTGCATGCTGTCAGCCGCGTCCGTTTCCGGATGCCATGCAGACTTGGGCTGGTCACAAAGCCTGTGCTTGCTTTCATGCTTCTCTCTGAGCAGCTTCTCTCAAGCGTGGTGGGCCTGCCCGTCCCCTCCTCACATGCTCGAGCCCGTGACCCAAAATTTCGGATAAGTGCTGATGCCGTTGGCAACGAGAAGAGCGGTACTGTATATGTCGCAGGCCAGATGCAGCGCCTGTTCGACGCAGTCAGAGCGAAGCGCAGCCTTGGAGCAAATTGGGTTCCAATACATGGTTAGTGGTCTGAATGCCGCTTCGGGAATGCCAATCCGAGGAGGGATGTCGAGCGAGCTAGCCTGGTAGGTTCGCCGGCACTCGAATCTCATCACAACAAGCATGGTTCCCAGGTGTATGTCACGGAGTGAGTGTGGCCTCATTGATGAGGAAGTTGACCAGAAGCAACTGCAGAAAGAGCGTGTGGCGAAAGCGCGGCACACCATCACTCAAGATCGTATTCGGCAGCTCGTTTCAGAACCGGGGATCGGTAATCCTCGAGCCGATGTCGCACGCCTGCCTGCCGCAGCTGCAATCCACCGCGAGGCAATCTCGCTCACAGAGCCGCAGGGTCTCAACTTCTGGTGGAGAGAGGCTGCAGCTTGGCTGCGTTGCATTCATTCTGTTCCAGATTCTCTTTCGCAGCCCTGTCGCCGAGGGAGTTCGAATCTGTACTGGTCTCTTTCGTGTCTCGGCAAGATTCGAAGAACCAAGCGACAGTTCACTGTCGCGCGTTTGCAGCTGTTGTCAGGTGTCCAAACGAGAATGCCACCCAAGGTCGAGTCCGATGTCTTTGAGCTCAGCGTTGGGCTGGTCATCATCTTCAGCACCGTCACCATGACATTGGAGGCCACTCATCCAGACTTCTCATAGCAATGGACCCGCTTTGCAACTCCTGGGCTTTCCAGGTTGACCAGGTAGATCTGCCAATGTTGATCAACTTCTCGGAGAGCTTCTTAACGGCTTTCTTTCTCCAGGAGTCTCGGTGCGGCGTTTCCGCTAGGAAAGAGTGAAGGTCCTTGGGAGTAGGCGCACCCAAGGGACCGAGAAGTGAACGTTTCAAAACCGAGCGGCTCAGGAATGGATCACCCGCGTGGCAGTCTATGGCCTGCCCTGGTTCCGCTCTATGGAGAACTTGCTGGACACCTTCATCGCCCCTAAGCTGCCACGTGAGGTTCGCAGAGCAAAGTTCAGACGATGGCTATCACATGTGCTATTGTGAGCTTGACCAAAGACTAGTAGGCACTGGTATGTGCATGAACTGAGATCAGTGTCCTTGTAACTGCATCCTCATGGTTTTACCATTCTCTGAGGTCTGGGTTCCTGGAGTGCTCACCGTATGGTTCTTGCAGCCCATTTTCTCCGGTTCAGCCGACTTCCTGACTCCGTGCCTGTTTCAAGTGAGTCAGACATTGCGAGGGAGGGCCATATTCAGAGAGAGACGTCTGTAGACGGTTCCGCAGCTGAGGAAGACGATCCGGATCGTGCGAATGCTGCGTTTGCTGAGATTGGCCTTTCGATTAAATTAGGTTTGCTGCAGCTGTTGATTCACCATGTCATTCCTATGCAAGTTAATCGTGCATCATCATCTCAAGGTAAAAGTCTTTCGGTGCCTTGGATTGCACGTTCAGACCCAATCGTCCATACAGGCCATGTCGTGCATCAACGTGTGCTTTTTTTCGGGACAGGAGCCTTCCGGTCATGCAAGATCTCTGGCAGCTCGTTCGCGGGCTCCTGAAGAGTGGCGGCAGCGGGGATGCAATTGCTGGTGGCTACATTTTTCGGGTTTTGGCAGTGGATTGAGCCGTACTTGCGCAGAGCACGTCGTTGAGGCACACTCGCCTCTGCAATGACTCTTATCGTCTTCACGCTGCCCCTTGGCCACGAAACTGAGAGCTGTAAACGGTGAAGCCGACACCTTCCCGAGGTTTGTTTTTGGCATCGCAGCCGTTGATCTGATTGCCAGAGCCGACTACAGTGGTGCGGAAGAAGTCATCGACTGAGAGATGACGAGTTCTCGGCTTCCGTCCAGCTGTGCTTTCCCGAGGACTCGAAGGTGGCGCAGTCTCGCTTCTTTGGCCAGGGCCCATGGCATCTATGTAGCACAGTGGCATCATGCGCAGCTGGGGCTTGCAAAGCTGCATTGACTTGTTGACCAGCAGCCATGTGCTTCTCCCAGGCCTTTGGTTTGCCATGCTGACGTTGACAAGGTCGGTCGTACAGACTCTGATCAAGCCCATGTTGCTGTTGGATTGCGTGCAATGCATCGTCAGGTTCATGCACGGTGATGATGCACAGGGCATCATGGATGAGCTCACTGCACACCAACCATATATCTGGTTTTCGCCTGAGCTGTGTTTTGCCATTTCTTGTGGGCTTCACCGGTGCTTGCGGCAAGGATATTCCTCTGGACTTTCGCAGCCTGTGCATCCTTGGCTTCTTGTCTGAACACTGTCCTTTCATGTCATGTGGCGGTGGACCCCATGGTCCAATCTGCTGGCGTTTCGAAAGGGGTTCGAACCTCCTACAGTTCCACAGCAGGCTCTGGCTCCCGAGATTTCAAGGATCCATGCCCTAAACTTGGACGCGAAGCCCCTCTCTTGAGACCCAAAGTCTGCTGCCCTGCCCGTTTCAACAATCTCTTGAGAGTCGAAAGCCCTGCTTTTCTGGATCGTCATCCGCCCGACTATGCAGATGTCCAGTAGTGACGCTTGACCGATAACTTGGAGCTCGGAGCTTCTGAGCTCTGTTGAGCCGAGGTTCTGTTGAATTTGGTCACGGCCATTATTTGCAACGAGGCCTTCGAGACTTCAAAGGCTGATGAGGCGGATCTCGCCAGGCAGCCACCTGTTTCAATGCTGCGGCAGGGTCGTCTCCCTTCCTCCAACAGCGCACGAACATCGAGTAACTACGTGGTTGTGCGCCTGTATTATGTATCTATACCACAAACGTATACATACATACACAAATGCACATGTATACGTAAAATTATGTGCGCGTTTGCACCTGTGCTCGTTTTTTTGGTTGCTTGCTTGCTTGTTTTGCGTGTATACAGAGCTGCAAAGGCATGTAAGCAGCTTCCTGTTGTGAGACATGCTGTGATAGATCGTAGTGGCAAGTGGAATGGATGCGATTCCGTGTGTTGTGCATGCGTTTATGTTACTCGCGCGTGCGGGTCTGGAAGGGCGTTTGTTTGTTGCTGAGTTAGTGCTGGCAGCACGTATTTTACTTGTCAGTGTGTGCTTGGGTCGTGGGTGTTGTGTTGGTATGTAGCACAGTCTATAAGCCTGTGAGCCAACTGAGCTAAATAGCGGGCAACAGCAGCAAAGCAAGCACATGCACAAAAATATCCAGATGCCCCACGGCCAAAGCACACCCTTACATGCATACTGCTTTGTGGTGGTGTTTCAGTGGTGATATGGAGGCGTGGTCACCCCTCTTATAATCTTCTGGGAGGGTTTAGGGCTGTGCACACCTCCGAGGTTGAAGCTTCAGAAAGAGCAGGAGATGCGCGAGTTCAAGGACAGGGTCTGGGGCATGACTAAGCCATCGTGATGTGTATACGTATGTACATTATTTATATATATACATATACATATACGTATGTATGTGTGTATGTATGTATGTATGTATGTATGTATCTATGTATCTATGTATCTATGAATTAATGTATGTGCACATGCACACATGCAAACCATGGCGATGAGAAGAACCAGGCTTTCGGGCTCTGGTGACCGATTGACGCTTTGCATCATCAGACGTACAGGACATGTTCATCGAGCTTGATGAAGACGGGAGCGGACAGGTGGCGCCTTGACCGGCTTGTTCACCGGTCAGCTTTCACATGGCGAGGTGACCCTGGACGAGTTCACCAATGCGTTCGAAATAGATGCGACCTGTCTCACGACTTTGTGCGAATTCGAGTGAGTTTGTGTCACTCCTATGTTCAGCCTCCCGTGCTCTGCCTGCGTTGCCCACAGAGCATCCGCAACAAGCTCATCGTCATGGGGCTCACCGAAGATGCTTTGTTGCAGCTTTTCACCCTGTTGGATACAGAGACTTGGATGCGTTACGTTGGGGCTGACCAGGGGCAAGGTTATTTTCATTGCCGTTGACATCCCAGCTCCAGTCTGCTCTGCAAGGATGGTGAGGGTGAGCTGAGCCTGGCATCTGGTCCAGCAATGGAGAAGTGATAGCTTCAGAAAGCAAAATAAGAAATCAAATCTGAGCACGTCTGGGCCAGTTTGAGGACGAGTTCATGGGTGGTATGCAGTCTCTCTCCGGCCTCGCAAATGCCAAAGACATGGTGCTTGGGCCGACACTGACAGTGTTTTTGCTCGGCCGCGGCCGATTCCGTGTCTCAGACCAAAGTGTGGATTTCGGGTCTGCTGACCTGTTCCGTGACTGAGGTGATATTGACGAAGGGCTTGGAGAGAATTGAAAAGCAAGTTAGCTTGCTGTTTCAGGGCTCCCTCTCGAGCGGCGCCTTGGCAAATTCGGGTCGCCTTTCACGTCCATAACTAGTACACTATATAGTGGTACACAGTAAATTATATTTCGAATATGATATAGTATATATTGTGGTATGACAGTGTATGCAGAAAGATCCACGGAGAGCAGGCCTGCCCACTCAAGAGATGCTCCAGAGCCAAATGACCCAGGCGGATTTAGTTCCGGACATGCGAAAGGTTCAGGGTTTATTTAGGGTTTAGGGATGTGCTGCGAGGGACTTGGCCGGGCGAGCTCAGTTCAAGCCTGTGGAAAAGGGAGGCACCTCCACATGGCAACCTGCAGTGCCCTGGCAGGTCCGAGTAAAAATCGATGATCGTTTTCGAAAAACGGAGACATCTCTGAAGGACGTGGTTCGGTGAGGGTGTTTACGACTGTCTGAAATCTCTGCATATTGTGCATCAACCTAAACTTGAATGGCTAGGTTTGCGAAGGAAGCTGACCGTCCCGGCATGTCACTGCCCACTGCTCTTGCAGTTGATACCCAAGCTGGCAAGCCGAAGGACTTGACAAACCAGCTGCAGCGCATCAGCGGAAGCAGTCAGGCAGCGGAGATTTCATGCACAGCCCTTGGATTGTCTGAAGCCGTGACAGCACAGGCGGCAACCCACAAAGGCACTGCCAAAGTCAAAGCGAAGAAGAAGGCGCGCGAAGATATCGAGATTGCAAGAGCTACTGATGTAAGTGGTGTGTCAGGTCGCCAAGATGCCGAAGGCATCGATAGTGACCTCGTCGTCAGGCTGGGCCACTGATCCGATGCCATGTTCTGGCAACATGCAAGCATCACCTTGCGCAAAAGCTGGAAGCTCAAGCACCTGGCCTGCAGGCGAAGGGGACGAAAGGATTTGAGTGCCATGCTGCCCGGGAGCAGCATAGCAACGCGTGGCGTTGACGTGTTGCTTGTGTAGCAGCTGTGGCCGGCAGGGCTGTTTTGCAGTCATTATGTCAAGCAGAACATCAGTTTTTCAGCAACCAGCCTTGGAGTTGCCAGATGGCTTCTTTGCCGCGTGTCTTTAATTAGTGATGGTGCTGACGCACATGTGCCAAAGACCCCCTCACATGTGCCAAACACCCACAAGAGTCTACACGATGTCCTTCAATTCTTGCGTCGGTGCTTGTAGCCTGCTTTAGTCAGCAAAACGGTGAAATCGGGTGGGTGGCAGGAGTGCGCCGTGCCACACCTTAGGCTATGCCTTGATCAGCTTGCCCCAAGGGCTGCTGCTCTTTATGTGCAGTGTCGCTTCGGCCTTCGTTCCCATGTGCAAAACGCGAACGCCGCGCGGGGCACCTGGCAGTTGTTGTTGTTGGCCAAGGTCCATCCAAACCCTAAAGCCCTAAAGCTTCATGTGCCTAGCCGAAACATTAGTCTCTTGGTGCACAAAACAGCCAGGCAAGGCGGAACACCGAGGCAGAGGGTGGACTCCTGGGACCCTGGGGCCTGGCAAAAAGCCTCGGCCCGAGCCTCAGGCTTTCCTGGCTGTTGCTTTTGGTCTGAGCCTCAGTATCACATGGTCTGGTCGAGTTCGATAGTCTAGTCTAGTTTGTAGTTGAGTATGGCATCGTATAGTACAGTGTTTTATAACTTTCAGTCTTCTGTAGTATAGCATGGGTGACTGTGTGAGTATATTGCAGGATCAAGGGCTGGGCAGTGCTGGCCATGCTAAGGCCCGGACCGAGGAGTCTGGCGGCGCACCTGTGCAGCACGAGCCCATGGAGTCAAGGGGCTTCTCAGAATCTGCACAACTGCCAAGAATTGTGGAGTAACGATTGCGCGCTGCAGATCTCGGGTGCCAGGACGATGATGCAGGCCAAAGCACGCCTGCTGGTGCTGCCCGCTGGGTGTTAAGCAAGTCGTGTTCCGCATCTTCTTGCGATGTCTAACTGTTCCACAAGGCCAGAAGGCCTCTTCCTCGAAATCTTCGAAGCAAGGCAGTGCGCACCCCCATCGCGTCTGCATTCCGAGTCATGCACGAGCTGTCAAACGTGTGGCTACAGCATGCTACAGCTAAGGTTCGGATGCACTTCAACCATTGATCAGGACCATGGCCAGGGTCGTGCATGTCACCTGTCCGGTCTGTCGAAATATCGGCCAACCCCAAGGCAAGCACACGGGTTTGGGTTTGGTTGCGGGATGCTTCAGGCAGATTATTTTCAGGCACATCAGAAGCGGCTGTTGCCGAAAATCCGCTAGCAGCGCAAGCGCCAGGAAAATCGCTGACTTCGCTTCCCGCAGACGGTTGAACGACGTCAGCGTCTTATGGGGCATCCATCATGCTCTTTGAGGTGCGAGATGAAAACGTCGTCGCACCATGTCCCGACAAGCCATTTATGCCGTCGACCTTGAGGCTGTCAGAACCTTTGATCAGATCGAAAAGCGAGGGCTCGAGCCGAGTTTGGCCTTCAGACATGGCTTCCTGCCTCTCCAGAAGGCGGCTGGCTTGTACGTCGAACAGCCTGAGGCGTGCAAGCCTATGCAAGCCTGATCAATGCATATGTCAACAGTCTGGCGCTCAACAAGTCAAGCCGGATCACTTGCCGTTTGATCCAACACAGCTGTTTGCTAATGGTTTGGCTAGCCGATTCATGGGCTCTACCACTACTTAGGCATCCATGGAAGTCCTCTTTCTTCTTTGGCATTGGCAGCTCAATGTGTTATTTACCCAGGTGGTGACATGGCTGGAGCTGCCGAGGGCCAAGTTTTGCCGTTAAGCCCTGGCGGCGGACCGTCCCGGCCAAAGGACTCAGCATTTTCGCGGATGCTGGCGGCCGGACTTCGGTCGAATGTGGTGGCCACGATGGGCAAGTTTGCACTGGTGCTCTCGCACAACTGTCGTGCGGCAGTGTGGCAGGTCTGCACTGCGTTGCTGAAGGGTTACTGCCGGGGCCCTGGGCTTCCCGGATTCTGCCTTCTGAGACTGAGCAAAACAGGTCGTTCTGGCGATGTGCGGAAAGCACAGTCCGCCAGGCTCCGAGCTTCATCTTGCGAGAACGTCCGTGATAAAGGGGCTGCGAACTGAATGGCCCCATGTCCACGAACTCAGAGTGCTTGTTCGTGCACGCCCATGCCAGCTTGTTGGTCCCATCCGTCCTCATGAGTTTGTAGCGGGCTAAGACGGCTAAGATGCTGTTTAGCAGTTGATGATTGCTGCAACACTAGGTGGTTTGAAAGCCCATGTGTGGGCTTCTTAGGCTCGGAGCAAAAGTGATCGAGGGGATGCAAGAGGTTGACCCCATCCCGAGTCGCCTAAAGTTCAAGACGTTGACATGAGAAGAACAAGCAGCGCCAAAGCGAAGACAGCGTGCCGGTCAATCCCCTTGGAAGATTTTCGATGACCGTCTTCAAGTTTTAGGTGCGGGGATCCTGGCCGGGCTTGCTCGAATCAAGCCTTACTGTCCTGCGGCATGGCCTAGGTGCTTGAGAAGATGTCTGGCCAGGAGCCTCCGGCAGCAGCCTAATCTCGATGAGAAAGTTGCCACATGCTCTCATATGGTCACTTGATCAGAGCACATTCCGTGTCCGAAGCCACGAGCACTCAGACTTTGGCTTAATAGGGAATAGGGCGTGCCTCGCCCCAAAGCTTTGCCAGACACATGTCGAAAAATGCTCAGCGAAACGAGAGGACCGCACATGACAAGCAGGTTCTCGCTTTGAAGCCACACCGCCACACCTTGCAAGATGCCTGTTAGGAGAAAGGCCGCCAAAAAGGAGCAGGCCACTGCATGTTTTTTTTGATAGCATTCTTGCAGTTGAGTGTGACGATGGAAAACCCTACCGATACCAAGAAGTACAGTGCTGAACGTTATACTAAAGTGTATCGGGGTCCCGGCTGTCACAGTTCAGTTCGAGCCAGCTCTTCTTACATGTCGGGTTCGCACCGGTCGAGTCTCTGCCCTATGGACTCTTCGACACCAACGTCCGAGCGTGTGTTTCCAAGGGTTGCAGGTACCGCAGGCGGCGCAACTGGTCCCAACACAAATAGAAGAACCCTACTGTAATGGGTAACCGGAAAGTCGAAACCCACCGAGTGCAGAGACCCAGACCCCGGATCGTGATCTCACGAACTTCGCGTAAGACTTCTCGGGCTTCGGGATTACTTGCTGCAAGAGTTCGCGTCCCGCAGATGGGGGACTTGTCTTAATTCATGAGGCCCGGGCCGATGAAACGGCGGCCGCTGCAGCATCAGGAGCTGACACCTGCTACGACGGTACGGTTTCGGGTTTCAGGGTACAATACCTGTTTCAGGCGCTCGGGGCGCACTGCAGGGGCGCGAGACATGAAGCACTGTGTTCCCAATTCAAGCAACTTAGACATGTGCGACATGTTCGTCGTCAAGATTAAGCCCATGAGCCCAGCTAACCAGAAGCCTCACCCCGATCACAAAGCTGAGAGGAACATAGTACCTTGAACGAGCTTCTTGATAAACTGCAACAAAGTACACTCCGAGGGGCAAGCGGCGCAATCAAGCTCACGTAGCAGAGCACAATCCCCCAAGTTTTCGTTCGGAAAATCTGCAACTGCGGCCTGGGGTCCGAGAGCGAGTGTACAAACAAAAAATTTCTCGAGGACCCAAGGCCACAGGCAGCTTCGAAGAGCTGCAAGAGTGTCTTGGCACCAAACTGCTGCAGTACTACCGGCTAAGGATGCCGTATGCTGTTGGCCTTATAGAGGATGTTCTGGCAAAACATCGCACGGTCGACACACTCTATATATTATATATACGTACATACATATATATATATATACACATACACACACACACACATAAGATCGTAGGACACGGTATGACGACGTAGTATCATAAAACATGTGTTTTCCTGCTGCTCAATATGATGTCACATCAGGTTTCGTTGTTAGGCTGTTCTCTCACAGCATATCGCATCAGTGTTTGTGCATCGTGCAGCTCGCAAGACTGCTACAAAGGCTTGGTAAGTCTTTGTTCCTGGGTTCATGCGCGGCCATGTATGCTGGATGCTTAGCAGCTTTGCGAATCAGTGTCGATGATGTACGCAAAGCACATGGCCATGACTCGGATCAACTATTGAGGCCCCAAAGTTGCCAGACTTGCTGAAAGAGGATGGCAAGGTGGGGCCATGCAGATTTCAGTTCAAGTAGGTGAATCTATGGCTTGCAGGAGGCAGAACCCGCGAAAACCACCGAGGAGTCCGAGAAGGACAAGCGGCACAGGAAATTAGGTTTCTGGCAGGCTTGGAACAGCGCTCTTTGTGTCTCTAGAGGACTCCCCAGAAACTGAGCCGACAACTCCGTCACCAGAGGCCTATGCGGCCCATGCCATTCCCCACTCGGAACACATTCGTGCATGGACTTTGAATAATCTTGCTTATTGTTATTCTTGTTCTTATTGTCCGTTTGACTATGGCTATATGATCATGACTATCATCTTCTTCCACTGTTGTAATATATGATGGGGGCTGCATGGCCAGGGCTCGGCAGCGATCTTCTCCAGCTTGGGTGAGCGCCTGGCGTGGCACAACTGCCTCGGCTTGGCGAACCCACAGACTGGCGAGGCTCCGTTACGCTCTTGCCTACGATCTGTGCCTACAAGTGCCATCAATATCTCATTTCGTAGCCGAGGAGGCGATGCAACGGTGGAAGGCGCTGAGCCAGTTGGAGATGGATTTTGGGCCGAAGAAGTCCAAGCGTGGGAGCCCGTCATGGGACAGGACCCTGCGCAAGCCACTGGAATTGCCTGACTCTGCGTTAGAGGGTCTGGAAGCAGAGCTTTCAGTGCCCTGCGCACCACTTCAGCAGCTGAGGCTTTCAGGCCTCGCCTCCAAAGAATGAACACGGTGGAAAATTGCTTAGACTCCTTAGACGTGTGGCACTTTTCTCATCCCTGTTTTGGTGCAGGATTTTGGCCAACCTCTGTGGGAACTTGCCGCACCTTGGCGAGCCAAGCTGCGCTTTCAATGGCACTGGCTGCTGCCGTCATGCGAGTTTAAGACTTGAAGACCGCCCTCAGCCTCAGGCAGTATCTACACATTCTACTGGTTCGTTCCCCGGTTCTTCGCGACGTGTCTCAACTCTGAGAGTCTACAGCCTCCGAGGTGCTGGCAATGCTCCATGCCTTCCTTCTCCGATCTTATTTCGCCTGCCTGCCATGGCTGTTGGGCTGGCAGACCTTCGGCTGAAAGAGCACATGAGGACTCGTCGTACAAAAGCGAAAGCTGATACTGTACCAAGGATGGCGTCCTTATTGATTCCTCTAGAGACCATCCCCCAGGCGGGTATCCAGGAGATGTCGTTGACATCGAGCCCAGCCGTAGCAGGTGCCACAAGTGCCACTTAGCCAGTGCCCTCTGAAGTTTCGTGATCGGCTCGGGCAAGATGTCTCAAATACAGGCCATTTGGGACACTTGCCTCGGAAACTTTGTAACCGTGCCCAGGCATAGCCGCCACTTTGGGCATCCACGCTTTGTTCCTGTCGTTTTTTGTTCTGGAGCTACTCGGCTGGATGCCTTCAAGACCATGCAGCACCACGCTAAATCAAACTTCAAGTGGCCAAGGCTAGTTTGGCGGATGAACTTCTTGGTGAAATTGCTGGTGGTCGCCTTAACAAGCCCTGCAAGTCCGAATCCAAAACAGATGCGAATTCCTGCATTCTCACCGCTCGTAAGGTGCTTGGGCTGATCATTTTCCACGCGCATTCTGTGAAGCCGGCTGCCGCGTAGTTACTAGGACGAGTGTCTGCGCTTCCACCACAAGCTGCCAAGCTGCAAAAGCCACAGACATCTACAAAGCACCGAACGCGCGGTCAATTGTTTGCCCCTATCGGTTGCCCAGTCAGAAGCTGGCTGACATTTTGCACCGCCGGGCAACCTCCCCTGGGGCTGCAGTTGTTTGCTTTAGCAACTTTAGCTGCTGGACCAACTCGCTGAACAATAGTCAGCACTGGAGAATGGATCACTTTGCGCCAGACTCATGCCGCTGCACTTTGCAGAGGAAGGAAGATGTCGTGAGACAACTGCCCGTCTGCATGAGTTGTGTTGTAGACGTGGTGACCGTGCACAAACACTGATTCGAGCCTCAGGTCAAGCCGGACTTACGTTCTGAGCTTATCCGGAAGAGTGTATGGCAGGGGCTTGGCTTGGTTCTTCATAGTGATGCAAAGGCCTTGTCAACACGTTGCTTCGTGGCTGCGTCAGGGTCCATGCCTTGGTAGTGAAGTGCCATACCATGGCAAGGATGTAACATTAACTTGGCCAGGCGCATGTTTTCATCTTTTCATCCCGGCTCCTGACTGCATAGCGGCTTGCCTCTAAGCTTGTTCAGCTTCAGGCCGGCGACCTTGTAATAGCCGAGCTTCTGACTCAGTATGATTGCCTTGCTCATGCGACAGTCCCGGTAATTAAGCGCTGCAAGTGCTTCGTGCCTAGGTCCGTGTTTCGGAGACTCCCTGAGTGGGAGCTGTCGCCAGATGCCAGGGACTCGGAGGAAGGAGCCGGCGGTGTTTTGGGGTGGTCGCCCTGAAGGCTTCATCTTGCTGCTTCATGTCGCGGGACGCCCAGACTGTGGTCCCCACCGAAGGGACTCGCTTGACGTGACACTGGCGAAGCTGCAAGTCCAGGACGTTGTTGGGCCAGGCCCTGCTGGTCAAGAAGGTCCCCGGCATGCAGCATGGTGTGTGTGTGTGTGTTCGCACTTCGTGTACTTCGTTTTCTTGCGTATCTAACTGTACATGGTTGAGCTGTGGACTTGCACAGGTTTCGGCGCTGCTGCGCTTGCCGGCCTTGGCCCCGCTCCCAGCTTCGCAGCCGCAGGCCACGCACGCGCGCACAAGCGCTTGCAGCCAAGGCTCCAGCTCCCGTCGCTCCAAGCGGAGGATAGCTTTTGCTGTAGCGGGGAGGGGGGGGGGGCAGGGCGGCAAGAAAATTCCAGATCGTGTGACCAGGACCCGAAGGCGGACCGTCCGAGAAATCGGAAGAAGCTTGCAGGTCGAGCGAGTGACTTGAGATGAGATTGGCAGCATTGTGCGGTTCGTCAGCGGCCCCGTGACACATAGTGTTATGCGCAGGTTTTGGCAGAAGGGAAAATGCAAGAAAGGTTCGCAGGGTTGCGGCTCATGCATCTTGGATGGCATGTTCTACCTTCGTTGCAAGGTGTTGCTTGTCCTTTCTTTCACGATCCGGCAATTGTTTGAACCTTGGGCACGAGAAGACGAAATACACATGCGATTGATAGATAAATCATTTTGTGAAGGAGGTTGCACAGAGGGCTGCCCACGAACCAGAAAGGCTTGCTGCCGTCACGCCCTCAAGGTTGCACAGATGGTTCTGCAAGATTGCGCATGCATGCAGTCAGCTATAGGTCAGCTGAAGCACGTTTGATCATTCCTTTAGGAGCTACGGGCTAGAAGAGCAACCAGTGTTCGTCTACGCATCGTCCAGATTCTTTGGACCAACCAGACGTGATCAGCACTTGAGTTTCTCAGTTGATCGTGAGGTGGCGTGCATTGGTACGTGCCTGAGTGGGACATTCCTACTCGAGTCCTTGCCTTGCAGTGTTTTGGGCGGAGATCCTTAGGCCTGGATGAGGCGCGCGCGGCAGCATTGCTTAAGCGACCACTTGCTTGCAAGCGCGCGCTGCGAGCAGCGGAGAGCGCCCTCGCCGCCGCCAAGGTGCGCCGATATCCAAGTGAGTGATAGCGAATTGGCTGCAGTGTTATTTTTATGTCGATGTAGTGGAAAAGCTTCTCGCCTGTCGCCTAACCGCCATCGGAGGACACACCGAGGCTGCGCAGTTCGTCAAAGGAACGACAAGACAGCATTCGGCACGCGGCCAAGAGTTCATTAGCATGTATAAAGAGCCCCAGTCCACTGCAATTGATGCCTGCACCTGCATGCCGGGAAAGGGACGGGACACTAAGGGAGAGGGAAGAGAAAGCGATAGCGATGTTGAGAAGAAGAACCGAGAGTACATACAACGGCCGAGTGCATCACAACGTCGCATGCAGTTGTGCCAGGGTTGTTTGCAGATTCAGGTTTTGCGAGCAAGAAGCCAATAGTGACTTCAGGACTGTACTGGTCCCATGGCACCCGGGCATCCGCAGGCATTCTGGCCTAGTGCGAATGGACTCTCGAAATCCCCCAAGCTTTAACATGGATTGACCTCTTCCTGCTTCTGGGCCGCAAAAAAGAAAGTCCTTTTTGCGGTATCATTATTTTTTGTTATACTATATTATACTATATTATATTGTACTATATTATATTATATTATACTATAGACTATATTATATTATATTTTACTATCTTTATAGCCTTGACGCGGCCTTGCGCGCCAAGCGACCAACGAAGGTTTGTTTCTCTTTTTTCGAAGCGCATGGCATCGCCTGCGGAAACTGGATCCACGGCTGCGACAGATGATGAGCCACACGAGGCCATCCTTTTGAACCATGGTGCTTTCAATCCTGTCGCTTGAGCTGCAAAATGGATGGTCTTTGCGTTTATGTGCGAAAGTCGCTGCAGTGTTGGCAACCGTGTTGCAAAGGTACGCAGGCAGCACATTGACATGATGGTGCAGAGCCGGAAGCGCGTTGAGCAGGCAGGCTACAAGGTTGTCGGCGGTATCCTGGTGCCGGCCTCACCGTGTACATGTTCGGTCATGCACCTAAAAACTCCCTGTGGTTGTAGCCCGTGAGCTTCGGCCAAGGCCCTGAAGAGTACAGAGTTCATCAGGCGCAAGAAGGAAACTGCTGCAATTCTAAACGATCATCGTTTGGCTGCTTTGCATGCAGCATGCAAGTCTGCAGATGGGCCACAAGGATGGCTAAAACCTGATGCCAAAGGAGTTTACCACAGCTCTCCAGGGCAGATGATTCAGACGATCAAAGGCAAGCATCCTGGTGTCACAGTTTTCAATGTGGTCGGGGCGGATTCCGTGGTGAAGCTTTGCAAAAACGGATCGAAATTCCTGCAGCCCATGGTGGTCGTGGGACGGGCTGGCTTCAACAACAAAGTTGTTCAGGAGACAGCCGAAAATTCTGAGGCAGCAGGAATACCCGCGTATTACGTTGAGGAGCTTGTTGGACTTGCTAGATCGACGGATGCCCTTCGAGCACTCGAAGAAGCACAGGAGAGAGTTCCTCATGCTTTTGGAATAGGCAGGTCTATGCAGGTGTGCTGCAACCAGGGAACAATACACAATATACAGTATGTATGTATGTATGTATGTATGTATGTATGTATATATATATATATATATGCATCTGTGTCACAACAAAGCCGGCTCCCCGGTGCCTGCGGTCAGCAAGACAGGTGATTACACCCATGACCATCACCCCGCCTCACCACCAGGGTCGGACCAGCGAACGTCTCAAAGTGTGCGCCCACAGAAAACGTGGGGGCTGGGGTCTGGGGAATCCTTTCAGTGATGGTTTTGGTGAAAATGGAGGACGGCAAAGATGTCTTGAGTTCATTGTGCCTGCTAAAGCCGAAGCAAGTCAATCGCCTGAAGAAAGTGTGATTGAGGCTCCCCGGCACCAACGGCTAAACAACAACGACAACAACAACAACCAACACGCAACAACAACACTCACCAACAGCACCCAACAAAAACACTCACCAACAACACCCAACAACAACAGCACCAACAACAGCACCACCACCACCAACAACATCAACAACAACAACAAAAACAACAGCCACAGCAACGACGACAAAAGCAAAAGCAAAAGCCGCAGCAGCAGCAGCGACAGCAGCAGCAGCAGCAGCACCAGCAGCTGCAATAGTGATGGTAGTCGTCGTCGTCGTCGTAGTCGTGGTAGCACCAGTGGTGGTAGTACGTAGTCATGCTAGCAGAAGTAGTGGTGGTAGTAGTAGCAGCAGCAGCAGCAGGAGCAGTAGAGTAGTAGTAGTAGTAGTAGTAGTAGTAGTAGGTAGTAGTAGTAGTAGTAGTAGTAGGCAGTAGTAGGTAGTA